GTTTCCGAAATATGTTAATGAGTCCACCAAAAATGGTCAATTTGTATAAAAAATACCTAGTAGTTCCAAACTTTTGCACGGTAGTGTACTTATTACATACAAACAGTTAAGGTTGCACAAATGCAGCAAAATGATATCTTCTATTTAAAAGCGTAACAGAAAAGTTGATGGTTGAACAAAGCAACAATATTAATATTGTTGACCACACAAATTGATATGGTCAAAGATTGACAAAAAAATGTATTGGAATAATTCTACCGGTCACATCCCAGCATTAAATTTGAGGGGTGGGACCCAAATACTTGCTGCTTCTTTTGAAACCTAAACAACATCAATTCTCTATCAAAAAAGAAAACACATTGTCTTTTGAATAGTTTGATATTTTATTGATTCTAATTTTATTATAATATCCACTTCATTTTGCTCACATCAGAATGAGTATGAGTTGTTCGTGTGTTTGCTTAACAGCCTACCAATATACAAGCAGATATATTTTTTTTATTGTGTGATTATAACCGTTTTTTTCAGTTTGTTTATAACAAAACGAGATGAGATCTTTCGACTGTTAAAATAATGATTGATGTGTGATGTTCGAAATAGTTTCGATGCAAAATTGTACATGAACAATGGATTTAAAGATTTTCTAAAAGGTGTTTGGTGTGCTGACCTATCTTGGTGCAGCAAGAAAACAGACATGTTACAAATATAGTAAAGATTGAAAAAGACATTATTTCCTTTGCTAGCAAATAGCTCTCTAAAACTGATATATAATCATTCAAAGCTTAACCAATTTAAATTTAAATATTCAATTATAGTCGTGAGTTCCAGTGTTTGTTTCGTTTGTTTTTTTTTTTCAAAAAAATTAAACTACAAATTTTCTAAATATCTTTTTTTTCTTCGATTAATTGTATTATTGTTGCTTTTGCTAGGAAAAGAGCGACAACGTATTGATTGGCCGATGATTTCGAATTGAAGTTTGATCTCAGCAGCCGCTCAATAACAACGTCGGCTCCGTCCATTCGTATTGTAAATTGACTAATTTATATATAAATGAATGATATTTATAGATTGTTTTCTTAAATTGTGTCTTTTTTTTAGGTAAATTTTGAGCGTTTCGTATTTATCGATAACACCCTGCGAGAAAAGTAGTTTCAATAAAAATAACATGCATTGCCAACATTGTCGATGACACGAATAATTTTGCAGCCCCTAACTAAATGCTTTGCCGATTTCCATCTACGAACTATTCCCGGAGAGAAAAGTACGTTCGAATGTTCTGTTTTTCATTCTGTGTTTGTCTAAACGAACCATTCTTCTTTTTGTGCAGCTACCGTCATCGAATCGTCATCTACGAGGCCCAGCGATAGATCGGGCAATTGTCGCATTGCATTTAGTTGAGTATCATACGCCAAATAGTCAACGGACGGATTGTCACCATCAGCATTTTTATCGAAACGTAAATGATGATTTGCAGTGAAAACGCTGCCAATCTCGCAGGGTGTTGCATGTTTCCCGAATACGTCATTGTATCACTAGTCGTTCGATTTATTGTCGTCGTTTTACTTGATCCATTTGTGTTGCAATGGTGATTGTTTACTGATTTGAAAAGATAAAAATAGGTAAAACCGCATAAAATCCACATCATATTTGGTTTTATTCTAATCGATTTGTTATTCGATTTTTGATTTAGAGAGTTTTTTTTGTTTCAAATTTCGGGACGATGTTGAAGTGGGGGTGATTTGAATACTAACATTGTAAATTGTTATTATCCGAGGTGGATGTGCGTAGCCGACAGAACCAAATAGCAATGCCAACGAAGCAGCCGCTCAACAGTAAAAACGCACTCACCGCCAACAGCACCAGCCAAGTCATTTCCAGGCCAAAAATCGTTTTTGCCTCCACATCTGAAATGGAGCATTTGCTTCAGAAGAGCAACGTTTTCTTCTCAATTTGAAATTTATGAAAGAGGAATACTTACTTGGGCATGGTGAGTGTGGAGCTTCATCTGTTCCATCGCCGCAGTGATTGATGCCATCGCACATCAAATCGGCTGATATGCAGAACTCGGTGGATTTGCACCGGAATTCCTTGCAAGCATGGTCTGAAATGGGAGTGTTATTCTTTGAATTGTTATATACTTTTAACTGGCATTAAAATCGAAAAAGCCTCTGATAAAGATGACAAAACAGCCAAAAAATTTGAACTAATTCTTTTTCAATATTGTCAATTTCATTACCCATTTGCTTCCTCTGCGGTGAAACGAAGCCCGCCGCGTTGAACAGGCGAGATAGTGCACACAACATTAGCGAGAACAGTACAGCACACTGTACTGCTCTCGCTCTAACACACACTGCAAGGCGCATAATACGAACTGAGCATAGAAGCGTAGAGAGCCAACACACACCAGTACGCATGGCTACTACGATTGAGTGTTTCAAGTCCTGTTCAACGCGGCGGCATATGGGTACCCGTTGCGTTTAGATTAATTTCTCAACGTGACAATTTCATGAAAAGAAATGTAAATTTCATGGCGTGTACAAAAACAAAGTGGCTGCTTCAATACCAGCTGTCTCTTTTGTGTTTCGATCCATCCTCGTCTAATACCATTGATTTTACATGTAAAATAACAACAAGAAACGACAAAAGTGACCTCTCGTAGCGGCACAGTTGAAACTAACGAAACAAACACAATTGAACATGTCATTTTCATGTTCAGTGTTGGTTCTGTTGTTTACCGTATAGCCGGAGAGAGATGTCTACAGCTTAGTGGCATTGAATGACATTCAACACCCATGTTTCGATCCATAAACAAAATATTGGTGGCGAGGATTTTTGTTATTGAATTTATCTATATTCTTAAGAGTTCAATTTTGGAATAGAATTCAATTGGGTTCGACAGCTACAGGTATTTATGTTGAAGATGCATTCTTTGGAGTCCATGCAAATACCGAACGAATCATGACAATTATTATCAAGTGGATAAAAGACATATCTGGCGGAACATGACGTTCGTCTTTCGTCATGGTAATCAAAGTGTTTTATTTACTTCGCACCGAGATAAAGAGTAATTGCGTATGAATCATCCAAAATAATTT